GGGCTTGAATACTCTGCATATGAAAAATGACTATGGAACCACAGACCTCTTTGCCACTGGCCAGAGAACAAATGAATGAGTCATGGACACATTTAAGCTAGAACCCTATGCTGCCTGACAATGGCAAAATATTTGTGGCCTGCATGAACAGGAGTTTCAGAAGTTGCTGTGCCCTTGAAATGCCTCCTCCTCATCACAGGCAGAGACACATACAAAGCTGGTCATACAGGGCACTGCTTACATGCGAAGCAGAGACAGTACCAGGAAAACCCGTAGCTTCAAAGGCAGCAACAGCAATCAGAAACTGTTAGATATTCTCAAGGATTGGAAGAACGGGGTCTCCAAGGCCTTCAGAAACGGTATTCACTCTTTGGCACATCTAGAGAAAGTATCCCAAAAAATTGAATGCATGTGCCTCGCAGCTGTACCTGTAAGAGACAGAATGCAGCAACTGGCATCCGATGGCTGGCAGCGCAGACTCAAGGCCTGGGTGCCTTGCCCAGTCTCTTGAACCACCACCTTCTCTCAACTTTTCTTCACCTCAGCAAGGTCAGATTAAGTGGCTCCCAGGGTCATTGACATTTTAACAGGAAATAAAGTTTCAAGGCGATGAGATGAATTTTCCAGACATGTGCTAGATAACCACCACACCCATGCTGGTAGAGGCCCTGACAGGAATCAAAGTAAATCCAGTCAGTAGAGCAGGTGTTGATGGTCCACTATTACTCCACTTGCAGACACAGCTGCTGAAGCAAGAAAAAGAAACCTTACATTTTCCCCTTGGAGGTAGGCCACCACAGAATTAACTCCTTCCACTCACTTCCTCACATTCTCAAAGACTTGGAGGAACTAGTCATACACTCACTTTTTTAAATCCTTCATATTTCAAAGTCAATGGATCTGGACACGGTGTTAATTTGAGGCCCGTCACGGACTTCCCTGCCCTGTCCATCGGCTCTCCAGGTCATGGTTCCCAATAAGCAAACATGGAAAACAAGCTCCTTCTCTTCTTCCTACTGATTAAAAACAAACCCAAACAGTACCCAGATTTAGAACACACCTACCAAGGAAAAGTTCAATGAAGAGAGGGAGGCACCCACCCACATAATCTTTCCATTCAAAGAGGCACTATTCCACAGCTGCTGTGGAGTTTATAATTAACAGACAAGCTTAACCAACAACAGAAATTTCTGGAATCTCTTGTAATTTACACTAGAGTCTGGCTTATTCCAAATTTAGATCAGAAGCACAGGCTGGATTCCGAGGCTAAATCAGAACGCCTTCCTGGTACACCTCTAGCTTGGGTTGCCTGCAATCACTCAGCCCTGCTGAAGCTGCAGGATGACTGAGGCAGCCCAGGTGCAAGCTGAAACAGGGCGGCTCCCTCATGTGCAGAGACCCACCAACACCCGCCAAGAGCCCCACAGGAACCGGGTCAGAAGACACTCAGATGTATGCCTCACAGTGTTCCGTAGGGTGAACCCTCTCACCCCAGGTTCCAAGATCCAGATGAGCAGTGAGGCACGTCTGAGCACCTGGCTCTGCAAGGGAGGGTGGGAAGAGGTGGCCTTCACAGACTGCAGGTCGCTTGTGGAGTCTTCTTTACCATTTGAATTCACATCCTCAAGAGCTACCATATTAGAACAAGAAGTCTGTCTCCTCCTTTTACACAGGGAAGGGAATTGAGACTCAGAAAGAGGAAGGAACTTGCCCAGGGCCACACGATTATTTCCTAGAGGTTGAAGGACTACACCCCAGTTCTCAAACTCCCAGCTCAGGCGTCCTCCCTGTAACTCCAGAGACAGTACCAGAGCAAGATAGTGACATTGCACAGTAGCATGGCTTGTGAGGCATGATACAGAATGCCAGACATCAGACAGAATGCCAACATCAGTTATTTACACAGACTGCCTCCACTGAGGAAAGAGCAGGTACTCTAATCCCTGTTTCAGGTCAGAAAGGGTGGTGCCTCCATGAAGTTTAATCAGACTGCAGAGCTGTCTGTACAGAAGTACTGGAAAGATCTCCGCCCAGTTCCCAAAACACTCCCTTCAAAAGCTGGCTGACGTGGGTACAAGTCCCTCAAGGATCACTGGAGTGAAGTCCCTAAGTCCTAGCTGAATATGGACATTCCTGAGGGGAAAGAGCAGCCTGCTGGGCTGGGACCTGCCACTGATCCCTCTGTAGGCTTAGGTATCACACAATGACTCTCACCTAGGGAAACAGCACATTTAGGAGCTTATTTTGAGACCAGAAGGAAAACCTTGGCTTTTAATCTTTCCCAATACAAAGACCATTTGTAAAAGTCAAATTTCTCCCTGCCATCTCCATGGAGCTAAATATTATGCTCTGAATGAAATTAATTGGTAAAACACATGAGTAGGATTTACTAATTTTGGAATTAGTGGCACTAATTTTTATTTTAGTAAACAACAGAATCATTTGAAATCCTGTAGTCTCAGGTGCACTGTACATGTGAGGGATTGATCTGTAGATGAGCCTACAAATGTGATCCTGGAATCACGTTCCAAGAGCTCAGAGCCCAGAGGTTAGGAAAGCCCAAAGATGAGCAGGCCTGTGGATGACTGGGGGCGGGCAGCTCCACGAGGGAACCCAGGGCAAAGAATGAGGAAGAGGAAGTCCACAAAGCACACTTCACATGCTTCACAATTTTGCTTAAGCCCTGCAGTCTTTTTTCCAATGACCAACATAAAAACTAATGATTATGAATTTATACTGACAGTCAGGCAGGGAAACTATGGAGTAGTCACTTACTATGGGAGGGAATAAATATAAAAGACACCAGTGTCACAGAAGAAATGCTCATCCTGATGTCAAATAAAAGAGTAGAATCTTCTAGAAATGACAGCAAAGTTATTCTTTAATGAAGCTTTTTCAGCATATGGATTTGATCTGAATTGAATAAAAAGGACAGTAGGTAAACAAAAATGGCACATACCCATAGCTAGTGTGACAGATATGTGGTCACAATTCAAGACCCTACTGTGGGGTATTGTCTGGACACGGACTAGTTCCCATTATCCTGGCTTCTTCTTGCCCCTTCCTTCAGGGAGCAGCCTCTGACCAAGGTTGGTCTCTGAAGGACATACATATTCCCAGTAATGAGTCATGGGATGCAGGTGACCAAGCAAAGCTAAAAGCAATGTAGTCCACACATTTAATCAATATGTCTACACACCATATAGGAACATAAACGATTAGCATGATTGCTTTGATTATAAAACTGCTTGCTGTACTGCTCCGAAGTGTGAATTCATCACTGACCTGCCGCCATCAATACCTTCTGTAAGTTTTAATAAACCAGCATCTTTCCCTGGTTGACCTACAGGTGATTTCTTTGAAACAAGGTAAACGTTATGTGCAAGCCCCCTCAGATTTACCTACCTTGTCATTTCCCACCAAAAGGAGAACCATTTATTTACACATCATCACTACGAAGAGTACCTCGTTAAAAAAAAAAAAGTAAGTTGGGCATGGTGGCTGAGCCTGTAATCTCGCACTTTGGGAGGCCAAGACGAAGGATTGCCTAAGCCTGGAGGTTCAAGACCAGCCTGGGCAACTTGGTGAGCCCTCGTCTCTACAATAATCACTAAAACTAGTTGGCCTAGTGGTGTGCATCTGCAGTTCCAGCTACTTGGAAAGCTGAGGCAGAAGGATTGCATAAGCCCAGCAAGTCAAGGATGCGGTGATCATGAGCATGCCACTGCACTCCAGCCTGGGCAACAAGAGTGAGACACCAACACACACACACAAAAAGTACCTCATAACTCCATGCTACACATATACTGAGAGTCAAACTTAGATTCTTTAAAAGTAAAATTAGGTTGGCCAGAGGCAATGGCTCACACTTGCAATCCCAACACATTGGGAGGCCAATACAGAAGGGCTGTTTGAGTCTAAGAGTTCGAGACCAGCCTGGGCAACATAGTGAACCCTCAGCTCTACAAAAAAGTTTAAAAATTAACCAGACGTGGTGGTGTGCACCTGTAACCCCAGCTACTTGGAAGGCTGAGGTGGAAGGATCGCCTGAGTCCAGGAGATCGAGGCTGCAGTGAGCCCTGATCATGCCACTGCACTCCAGCCTGGGGAACAGAGTGAGACCCCAACTCAAATAAATATAAAAACAGGAGGAAAAAAACTCCAACCAACAGACTTTAAATATACATGGCACCTGTTATAAATAAATTTAAGGAAACTAATTAGCCCCCTATCTTTTCAGCTTATCATCTCCCATCACCCTCTCTTCCCAGGCTCCCCACACTCTCCAACATGCCCTGAACAAGTATTGTACCTTTATATCCATACCACTGAGCATCAAGTCTGCGGTAAGCTTGGCGTGCCTGCCACATTCATTCATATGTGTGTATACACACAAACACACACACACACACACACACACACACACACACACACACGCCTAAGTTGTCCTCATCCTTCCTACATGACCCCCATAGGCAGAGTCAATCTGCCCTTCCCCACCACACTTCCAGTGTATTCTCTGATGACCTCACACAGATGTCCACAGTAGCACCTGCCATCGGGGGTCACCAGAGCCACATCATCACCGTATCACTCTCATCTCCCCACTAATAACACCAAGCAATACTCTGTACCAAATGCTTGACAAAAGCATGCTGCAGAAACAAAGGAATGAACAGGTAATCAGGGAGAAAAGTTTCTGATACTGATTGTATGAGGATAATCCTGTTCATAAAACCGTCATCATGTCTTAGTATCCCATGACCGGGGAAAAGCTGTTTCTCTAACTCTGAACTAACTACTCACCTCCTCTCTCCTAGTAATGGATAGTATATTTGTTATCTAATAAGGTAAAAAAGAAAAAGCCTGTTTTTCCACTAAAAGGCTCTAATTAGACATGAAGGATGCAAACATTGGAAAATCCCTGCACTGTTCAAAGGAGTCTCCCTGACAGCTAAGCACATGCTGGGGAATAGTCAAGGCAGACAAGGTGCACTCACCTGGCTTATTTCCTTCCCTCTCATGGCCCAGCTGCCCTTTGGTATTCAAACCACACGTGTAAACTTCCCCGTCCTCCAGCAGGAACACGGAGTGGTTGCCCCCACAGGCCACCTCCTTGACGCTCCTGTCAGATATGAATCCGCACACCTGGGGTTCAGTGACAATTCCTTGCAGGTTGGTGCTGATACCAGGTTGGCCCAGAGACCAATATCCCCAGCATAACATTGTTCTTATCTTTCAGAGAGTCATGTAGCCTAGAAGAGAATTTTGTGGGGGGGAAAAAGGTTAAAAAATAAAAGAAAATAAATAGGCTAGAGAAAATCAATTCAAGTCATAAATATAACCAATTTTTAAAATAACCCTCCTCTGAACATCTTCAGACATCTTGCATCCCCAAGAGCAATGTGTTAATATTGCTGAAAGTAGTTATGGTGATGCTATTTTTGTGTTTTAGTAAGAGCTTTAAAAAATGTTTAAACAAGTTTTTGCTAGCTTCAATGAATAGTGAACACAAACAATGTGGTTTTCAGGTCACTGCTGAAGAACAGGACAGGCGCCTGGCTGAAACAATCTTTGCAAACCATTAAGGCAGTAACAGTTTTGAAATTACTCTCCTGACTTCACCTTATCCTTTCTCAATGCACCTGTCCTTTTGGTTTTCTGCTTATTGGATTTTTTAAAAAAAATTCTGACTCAATCAACAACTTCAGGTGCCCTATTGTGAGCTTGGTTAGTAGTATTTCACCACTTGCAATGAAAATAAGAAATGCGGGGGAAGGGGTGTTACCTTGTCTGCCATCCCCTCACTCACTGTTCCAGACCTGAGTCAAGCTTCACTTACTACCTGAGAGAGCTTCTGAAACCATCCCAGCGACAGGCATCTGCAGCCCTCTGACATATCTGCTAGACTGCCTTGACGGGCAGCTTCCTCTATAGCTTTATAACTTAATTTCCAAAGGCAGATTTTAATCTCCTTCAACATAGTGGCCACAGTATAACACGGACCTCACTATTTAGCAGGTAAACAACTTTTGGCTGATGGATTACAGCAGACAGTAGCCTAAAGTTTCACTGCCTTTTAACACTTCATGCTTCCCTTTCATAAAAACAAAAACAAAATCTCATCTCTCTCTACCACTTTACACCCATTAGGATGACCAGGTAATGACAAGTGTTGGTGAACAATGTGGCAAAGTTGGAACCCTCCTCCATGATTGATGGGAATGTAAAATGGTGCTGCTGCTTTGGAAAACAGTCTGGCAGTTTCTCAAAATGCTAAACATAGAGTTACCATATGATCCAGCAATTGCACTCCTAGTTATAAACCCAAGAGAACTGTAAAACTACATCCACACAAAAACTTGTACATGAATGTTCATAGCAGCATTATTCATAACAGCAAAAGAAATAACCCAAATGTCCACCAACTGCTGAATGGATAAATGAAATGTAGTATATCCATACAATAGAATATTATTTGGCCATAATATAAATGAACCAGGAAAACATTATGCTAAGTAAAAGAAGCCAGTCACAAAAGTCCACATATCATGTGATTCCATTTCCATGAAATGTCCAAAAAAGCAAATCCACAGAGACAGAAAGGCTAGTTGCCTAGGGCTGAAGGAGAGACAGGAATGAAGAGAGACTCATCTTGTTCTTTTAGGAGGTGGTGAAAATGTTCTAAGTTTAAATAGTGGTGATGTCTGTACAACATGGTGATATACTGAATATATGAATTTTGCACATTAAGTGAGTGAATTTTATGGTATGTGAATTATACCTCCATAAAGATTTTAAAATTGTTTTACATCTTTTTCTTGCTACAGATCCACTGTCCCTGGTCATCCATGTCAGCTAATAAGACTTTGTTGAGTTCTTCCTATTGCTGAAGTTGGAAATCTCTAGTAGGTAGCTCTTCTGTTCAGAAAAATATCTTACGGGCTTCTCTGGTTTTGAAAGAAAGGTACATGATTTAGAGAAGAAATGATAGAGGGGAAATCCCAAGCACATCTTATCAAAAGGAAGAAGTTCCTCTTTAAGACACCAAATTAAGAGGGAGCAACAGAAGCCTATAATATGGCTCCAAGTTTGAAACCTGGCCAGTAAGTAGTAGATTCTCTGTGACAGAGAATAGCTGATGAATTTTGAGAACCATCATGTCTAGCAGTCATTCTAATGTTGTTGCCTGTTCTGTAACTACTTTTGAGAATCCAAAATCTTCTGTCAAAGTTAAGATACCACACCCTTACAATAATTGTACTTTACTTAGCATGGGTAAAATCAAAAGAACCTTGAAAAAAAGAATCCACAGAGCACTGACATTTGGACAGGAAGCAAGAGTTTGGGGGTGAGCCATGATAGAAGTTGAATATTATTTTTCCCCTCCAAAATTCTTAGAAATTTGGGGACAGTAAACCTCTAATTGGCATGGTCTTGGGTTTGAATCACTTTATTTGGATGTTTTAAAAAAAAGTGCAGAAGATTGGTCTTAAGAACGTGCAGATTATATTTCAGTTTCCCAACACACATTTTAATCATAATTTTGAATATCCTTTTTTAGCCAGATTTCTTAAAGCTGCTATCATTGCCTCCACAATGAGAATCACTGTTCCAGGTTCTATGGGTCAAAGTATCAGGATTTCAAGGCAAGACTACAGACATCAAAGGTATCTCACCTAATCTTTTAGATATCTCACCTTATCTTTTGCAGTATTTATGTCCCAATGAAAAGAGGACAGATTCTAAAGGAAATGGTGAAGCCTTACTTTGAATTACAGTACTATGCAGAACACATCAAAGTTGAATTTAGCAACCAATCTACAGGAGAGAATTTTCACTAATTTCTACGAATCTAAATGTACAAAAGAGATAGCTAATTGGCTATTCTGTGCAAACTCAACTTTTAAAATGCCAGACTCCTTTTTCCCAAGGTAAAAGCATGCCCAAATAGCTACACATTAAAGATTACAACACAAATGAAGCTACTGCTTTCAACCTTTCTTGACAACAATTACAGTACTTTGTCCTTAATAACATTAATTTGTATGTACAACTTAATTTTAAAATGACCTTATGGTAAGCTTTAAACTCTTGAGGCTTTCAGGAAAGACATGAAAAGGCTCAAAATAAAATATAAAACTGAATCTCAATGTGCTGTTTTAGCCAGGAAGTTCTGCTTCTTCCCAAGATTTTTATTCCTTGTCTAGACTCTTAAATGTTATTCTGTGAGTTATTTGCAAAGATTAGGGAGGGACAGGAGGAGAAATAAATTGCAAAATTGGCAGGGGAGTGGTGGTGATGGTGGCATAAGGATATACATTTAAATTGACCAGCAAGACCACACAATCTATTCGTAATTTAATTTTCCCAACTTGCTCAATTGCCATTATCCACACTAATAGCTTTCTTCATTCTTAATGTTTTATTAATTTGTGTTATCTTGCCTACCAGTAATTATATGAGTAACAGCATAATGCTCACTACATATCAGTCACTAGGCTAATATATACATTTCACATCATTATGTCATTTCATTATCACAACAACCCTGTGCCTTAAATATGATTTTAGCCTCATTTTCAGATAAAGCAAGGCTCAGAGAGATTAAGTAGCATACCCAAGGTCACACAGCTGGAAGGAGCAGAACCAGGCTATAAATCTAGGCCTGACACCAGTGTCCACATTCTTTTTTTTTTGAATTGGAGTCTCACTCTGTTGCCCAGACTGGAGTGCAGTGGCCACTCCCGGCCACCGCAGCCTCGACCTGCTGGGCTCCAGCGATCCTTCCGAGTAGCCGGAATTACAGGCATGCGCTACCACACCCAGCTGATTTTTTTTTTTTAATTTATTGTAGAGATGAGGTCTCGCTGCCCAGGCAGGTCTCAAACCCGCGGGCTCAGGCAATCCACTCACCTCAGCCTCCCAAAGGCGCGGGATTACAGGCTGAGCCACCGAGCCCGGCGAGTGTCCACATTCTTATCCATAGGGTTACACTGCCACCCAACAGATTTATATGTCACCTACAAAACCGCAACACAAAAAAATATTTGCAGAATGACTCAGTGGCAGTCAGTATACAATACAGGATGTCCTGAAAACTTAAAGGTGCTCCCTGAGAGTGAAACTAGTCAGAATTAAGAGATAATGAATGAGATCAGGCAGCTGTAGCACTAAACCAAGCATAAACAATGCATTTAAAAATACGGTATCGACAAGCCATGACTGTATGTCTACATAAGGATCTGTAAACAATGTTCACATTGGCTTTAGTCATACAGAACAAAAATGGCAACAACTCAAATGTCATTAATAAACAATTAAGCAGATTATTGTATAGTCACACAATGGAATACTACTCATCAATTTTTAAAAAGAGGAGGGTATTGGGGCTGGGGAGAAGAGGCCATGACTGAAATGCATTGACTAATAATAATTGCAAATAGTTATGAGGTACAACGTGATATTTTGCTATATGTATATATTATGGAATCAGTAATCAAGTTAATTAACATATTCATCACCTCACATATTTTTTGTGGTGAGAACATTTCAATTTTAGTTTGTCAGCAATTTTGAAATATATAATACATTATGTGAGAGTCACTATGTAATACATCTTAAAAATGTATTCCACCTATCTAACTGAAACTTGTACCCTATGACTAACCTGAAATGCATCTGATGGAAAAGAAAGCTGTAATCTAATGTGGTTCTTCTTTCTAAACAATGAGATTAGGTCTTGTTGTTTTTTTAATTCCTCGTATGTATTATCTACCGCTTTTTTCTGCTACTCTCTCTCTCCAAGTCCTTCTTTATCTGGTAACAAACTTCACTCCACTTTTGAACCCTGACCAAGACAGTCAGAAAACGTCACCCCTAAGCAATAGCACATGGCCTACACCAAGTCAATCAGAGAATGCTAGCCCTAAGTCATAGTGATTGGCACAGGGATAGGTTCACACTCCTAATTGGGGCAGAGTACTTCCCCATTAAGTTCCACCGTGCTCTGATGGAAGGCTACCTTTTCACCTCTGGGATAACTGAGGCTGCTGGAAGCTATCTTCCCTGCCATACGAAGGACACCTATCAAAGATGATGAAGCTCCATGCATAGAGATTCCTTCAGAAAGAGACAGAAAGAGTCCCAGTGATGTGGACTGAGCCTTTTGCCTGGACTCAGCCCCTCTTGCCTGGTACGGGCACCACCACCTTTACTCTAAGTACAGTTGATCTTCATTGTTCATGAATTTCAT